CCCAGCAGAGTGGGCACTCACCGCGGATCCAAAGTAGACCCCGCCATCCCTGGGGAGCTGCGATCTGCGAGACTGTTACCAGTTTCGAGGGCTGCTGGGGGGGGCAGCAGAGTGGGAACTCACAACGGATCCAAATTAGACCTCGCCGTATTGATGTGCGAAACGGTCGCAAATTTCGAGGACTGCTGGGGAGGCCAGCATCATGGGTACTTGTCGCAGACTCAAATTAGAGTGCGCCGTTCCTGGGGCTGCCCTTTCCCCAACGACTCAGGGGCTCAAGTTGTCAGTGCTTTTCACGAAGCCCTTGTCCCTTGATCGGGGACCCGCGAGCCGCCCGAATGCCCTATACAGAAATATCTCCTTCCATGCCAGGTCATTACCCCATGTAAAGTCCCCAAAGCTACTCATACCCCACATTGCGAAGGGGTTGGATCTGTCACCAGGGGAATGATGAATGTGATTACTAAGATTAGTATCATGCATCTTAATTTTTATGTTGAGTATTGTTCAGGTTCATCTGCTCATTATTATTAGTATTGTTCGCCACGCTGGTGCTCATAGAAGCCTCTTCGGAAGATGCTCGCGGAGGTCTTCGCAATCAAGGTGCGCGCGGAGGCCTTCTCTGGGAGGGTGATCGTGGAGGTTGTCTTCGCGCTGGCGCTCGCAAAAGCATTCTACGGAGGGTGATCGCAAAGGTCTTCATTCATGCACGTATTCGTAGAGTCCTTCTCTACAAGGGTGCTCGCGGAAGTCTTCTTCACCCCCGCGTTCGTAGAGGCCTTCTTTGGAGGGTTCTCGTGGAAGTCTTCTTCCTGAAGGTGTTCGCGGAGGCCTTCTCCAGGAGGGTGTTCAGGGAGGTTCCCCTGGGGCTGGTGAACGCGAAAGCCTTATTCGGAGCGTCATCGCAGAGGTCTTCTTCATGGATGTCCTCGTGGAGGTCTTCTACGGGAGGATGCTCGCTGAGGTTTTCTTAGCTCGCGTTCGCGGAGGCCTTCTCTGGAGGGCGCTCGTGGAGGTCCTCATGAATGTGCTCGCGGAGGCCGTTTCCGGGAGGGTGCTCGTAGATGTCTCATTCGTGCCAGTGCTCTTAGAGGTATACTTCGCGGAATGATCGCGGAGGTCTTTCTAATCAATTTGCTCGAGGAGGTCTTCTCCGGGAGGCTGTCCGCGAATGTCTTCTTCACGCTGGCGTTCGTGGGGGCCGCCTCCCGGAGGATGCCCGCGGAGGTCTAGGTATTTTTCGTGCCGGTGCCCGTGGAGGTATACTTCGTCGTGTTCCTGGAGGTTATCGTCGTTACGGATGGCTGCTTCGTGGTCCTCTCGCTGGTGCAGGAGTCCCTCATTCGCTGGATGATGACGCTCTGTGGGTGACCATCTCTGTAGTCGCCGTGCCTCGTCCACTCCTCGGGCCCCTACTGCCTGGCTGGAGTCGCTCTCAAGCCACCGAAAGTCACACCCGCGCGGCGGGGTGCAGACACAACAGGATGTGTCGGACCATCGGGCTATCGTTGCGGCTGCACCGCGCGGTTGCAGCTCCCCGCCAGAGCCCAACAACGCGCTGGTTCTCCCGATCCCCTATATTCCTGCAATACGCCACTGGTAAAAAGAATTACAAAAACAATCATCATCAAAATCATCGTCATCCTCATCATCAACATCATCGTCATCCACCTCTTCACCATCATCATCATCATCATCACCATCATCATCACCATCAGCATCGTCATCATCATCATCATCATCGCCATCACCGTCATCATCTTCATCAGCATCATCATCAACATCATCATTTTCGTTTATCATCGTCGACATCATCACCAGCATCATCCTCACCGTCACCATCATCATGGTCAGCAACATCATCGTCGTCGTCAACACTATCACCATCCCTATCATCTCCGTCCTCTTGTCGAAAATGCCATCGTCGGCAACATCATCACAGTCACATCAGCAGTTGCATATTAAGTATCCTCATCATCACTGCCACAACCTTCATATCATCTTTATCCACATCCTCATTATCATCGTCATCACCATCATCATCACCATCAGCATCACTATCACATAACAATCACCATCATTATCAGCATCGGCATCGCCCTCTTCCTGCTGCTACGACGACGACAAGGCAGCAGCAGCAGCAGCAGCAGTATAACTCTCAGCGGAGGCATCCCTCCAAGATGAGAAGGGGGGAACCTTCAGAAGGGCTCCCGCAGGAAGACGGAGGAAGAGCGGGTTGTAAGAGAAGGGGGGAGGCTCAAAAATCTGTGACTGGATGATCTCCCGTGTGGCCTCCCGCGAGCAGGGCAGTGCTTGGGGGGGGGGGGACCCAAGTCGGGAACGAGATGCAGGGCCCCACAGTTATACTCACCCACCACCCCGCTTCCCCCCCTCTCCTAGGAAAGCGGAGGGGAAGGGGAGGGGTCCCACGGTGGAGGAGGAGGGGCAGGAGGAGGAGGAGGAGGAGGAGCAGGAGGAGGAGGAGCAGGAGGAGGAGGAGGAGGGAGGAGGAGGAGGAGGAGCAGGAGGAGGAGGGAGGAGGAGGAGGGAGGAGGAGGAGGATTAGGAGGAGGAGGACAAGGAGGGGGAGGAGGAGGAGTAGGCATGGAGGTGGTGGTGGTGGTGGTGGTGGTGTACCCTTGAAGGGGCCCGCACGATGGGGGGGCCGGCGGGGGCCGGCGGCAGGCCCCCGGCGGAGCCGCACGGCCCGCAGGAGCCCCGACCGGCAGGGAGTGGGCGCTCGGGCTAGAGGGCAGTTGTTCGTACGTCGGGTGTTTTGAACATATGGGGATTTGAAGGCATGACTCAATGTATGAATGCATGTATGCATGAACATGATAAGTGTATGCATCGATGTACACATTCAGGAATACATGGGAACTTTATGAATATGTGACAAACTTATGAATTAGGAATGGGCGCTCGGGCTACATCGGATGTTTAAACATATGGGAGTTTGAACACATGATAAATGTATGAATGCATGTATAAGGGGGCAACAAACCTACCTCGTTTTTGACCACCCTCGCCTCCAAGAGATACCGAGCGATGCCAAATTGCAGCCTGTACTGGTCAGGCCGCTCGATGAGGAGGCGCGTGGTATGGCTTGGTTTTGCCTGGAAGCGAAAGCGGGGTAGGTAATTCACGCTCTGAATGTATGCATGAACCTGATAAATGTATGCATCGATGTAGAACTTCAGGAATAAATGATAACTGTATGAACATATGATAAATTTATGAATTAGGAATGGGCGCTCGGGCTACAGGGCAGTTTTTGAAACGTCGGATTTGTTTAATGGGATGTTGAATACTGGATTAATTTATGAATAATTGTATGCATGAACTCATCGTTGTTTTTAATACTAAAGCCCTGCATCTGTAGTACATGATCCGCGCGCGGAGCATGTATAAAAAACGGCACTGTAACTACGCTGCCAGACAGGATCGTGTCGTAAGAGAAGCAGGGCGGGAGGTTTGGGGCTTGTTTCGGCCGCGGGGGGGCCCTCGCCGGGCCTCAGGACTGTCAGAAAACGACCCAGGACGAAAAACCCGTCCCGGGGGAAAGGTCGGGACTTCCAGGGACGCCGTCCTGCAAGAAGAGGACGTCGCATGTCTGGGCTGCTCCCATCGCACTTCAGGACCACACCCCAGAAATAGTTTCGAGCACCCAGCAAAGTATCGAAACAGTGTCGAACGAGCATCGCCTCCCGGGGCCCGACACGTGAAAACCCTCCAGTTTGGGTTCTTTCGTGGTGCCCGAAATTCTTTCTGGTGGCCAAGGGTAAGGCAGGTTGGAACATCATAAGCTGTTTTTCGCAACCATCCTGTGGTGCTGGGTCCTCGTTTTGAAAAGACAGCGCCCCGCGTCCTCACTCCTCCCGCTGCCCCCTCCTCCCTCTCTCCCCTCGTCACCCCCCTCACTTTGGCACACCCCTCAAACGCGTCGTGGCCGCATAGGGAGCTCCACCGAAGGCCCCAGTGGCAGGGTCCGCATGCAGTTCCCCGCCCATTTCGGCACACCCCCTCATACGTTTCGTGGCCCCATAGGGAGCTCCACCGGAGGCCCCAGTGGCAGGGTTCGCATGAGGTTCCCCGCCCATTTCGGCACACCCCTCACACGGTTCGTGGCCTCATAGGAGGCCCGTCGAACGATGGACCCAGAACGCGGTATACACAAAGGATTATGGTTAGGTCCTTCGTCAGGCTAATTTTCAATTCGACTGGACGACGAATCACTGGAGAAAGTCCGACATCTGCGTGCAGAACGCAACGCTGATGGGTCAAAGGTAGAGGCGACAAGCCCGCTCCTGACCGCTACAGCTGCGATGCAGAGCACAGTACGCACATGGCCGTGTTCAAAAAATGTGAAAACGTCAACCGTCTGCAATTCAAACAAGGTTATGGCACCTCTGGGGTTGCCAAAAAAACAGCCAAGGCTCTGGCCGGAAGGAGCTTGTACTCATTCGCGAGGGCCTCCCGCGCGACCTCCGGAAGCTTGTGCTTATCCGAGCGCTTGTGCTTCGCCCTCCACCACCTCCTCCACCTCCTCCTCCTCCTCCTCCTCCTCCCCCTCCCCCTCCTCTTCCTCTTCCTCCTCTTCCTCCCCCTCCTCCTCCTCCTCCTCCTCCTCCTCCTCCTCCTCCTCCTCCTCCTCCTCCTCCTCCTCCTCCTAGTAGTTTGATCCCGATCCGATCCGACAATACTGGCACGCCCCCCTCTCGCCGTGACTCTGCCAGCCGAGGGAGACAGTGGCCATGACTTCGAGGCATTCGCTGAAGTAACATGCGATGCTATTGGCGGCCCAATTGGGCGGCTATCGGCCAAAGCATACTTGCGCCGAATACTTTGGCCCAATACTTTGGGCCGAAGCATACGACCCAGATTGGGCGGCTATCGGCCAGCTGTGGCGTGTGATGTAATGCGATGGTGTATTCGCACGTGTGTTCACATCTATAGTTTACATTCTGTTGTTCCAGGTTGAACAACAGGTTTGCTGCATTTCAGCAGAAGTCCTCTGAGGAGCTGTCCTGTGAACTGGGCTCTGGTATGCGCCGGAGCTCGTGCCCAATCCATCCCGCTGTGTGGAAACTCTTGTGTATGGCAATGAGTGCCAGGAGTGCGACTATGGGCAGCGTCAGCCAACTCTTCATGCAACCATAATCGAGCGGACCGTCACCTATAGAATTAACTCGCCCTCGAAATACATCGTGACAGCCATTAGGAACAGCCAGGAAGAATACAGCACGAGAATCGGCAGTCCACCAAAGATCAACGTCCCACCGTTCTCCCACCATCCGCGAATGTTCTCTGACGAGACTTTTCTTTTCCTGCGGAATGAACACCATTAAGTATACGTAAAGGCAGACGATGATGATTACCTGCAGGAGTAGCAGCTCAAGCGATCCAAAAAGGGCGCCATAGATGTCGGTAGCCTTGTTGAGCTTGCCGAAGTCCTGGAAGATGCACCCACCAACAATCGACAGTAGCAAGCCTGTCAGCAGAGCCCAAACATGCAACATTTTCTCGAGATCATCATGAGACGGAGGCCCAGACGGTGAAAGCAAGCCCCACGATTGGGATTTATTTGCAACATTCGGTACAACAATCAGAGAAGCCCATCTCGCCGGGAACTCAAGGGCTGAGGTCTCTCGCTGGTGCCCCTAAGCAGGAGCTGCCTCCACGAAGAAGCGGGTGCGTGCAAGGCGCCCTTGAGCCCAAATGGCTTGAGACACAATGGCTACGGAAGGTTGGAACATCATAAGCTTGGGGGTCGATGTCCCCCCCCTGGGGCTGTCTCCAAGTCGTTGTCCCTGTGCGACCCCTTGCGTGCCCGCACGGAAGGTCACGCTGGCGAAGGGCCATGCTCACGCGTAAGCTCGTATGCGCATGTACCCCTGGAGTTTCCAAGCCCACCCCGCTTTCTCAGAACATCATGATGGCCGCGAACCGACCCGAAGACCGAGAACCGGCAGTCGAATCGAACCAGGAGCGCCGAACTGGGAATCGAATCGAATCAGAAAAACCGAACCCGCCGAACCGAAACGCACCAACCTCGGACCCGAACAGGCCGAACTGGACCGACAGGCCGGACAGAACCGGGCGAACTGGATCGGCCCGGGTCGTCAGGCGGAACTCCCGGCATGGGGGGTTTAGCAACCCCCCCCGACCCCCCTGGGGGTGTCAGACCAAACGGAGGTTGATCTAGCAAACTCCTGACCCCCCCCAGGGGGGGTCCTGACCCACCGCCCGGGGCGAACAAACCCGGAGACCCTCCCAGGCAGGTCAGGCTGACGCCCCCAATGGGGGTCAGGCTAACCCCCCAGGGGCGTCAAGCAAACTCCCTAAACAAACTCCCCGAATCCCCCGAGGGGGGTTCGGCCCTGGGGCCCTGGAGCGACAAGGAACAAAAAAAACAAATCAGCCTGGCGAAGGACCCGCCCATATGCAGTTGTTCGCACCGCAATTGTGAACATCTTCTTCGGTGGCGCTCCATATGCGGCCACGAAACCTGTTACGGGTGTGCCGAAACCTGTGCGGGGGGCGCATGTGGACGGCGGCGTTGGGGCCTTCGGCGGAGCTCCCTTTGGGGCCACGAAGCGTGCGAGGGGTGCGCCGACATGGGTGTGGGGGACGCAAGTGGACGGTGGCAGTGGGGTCTTCGGTGGAGCTAACCCTTTTTATGGGGCCACGAAACGTGTGAGGAGCGTGCCAGAATGGGTGTGGGGGACGCATGTGGACGGTGGCGCTGGGGCCTCAGGTGGAGCTCGGTGTGGGGTCACGAAACGTGTAACGGGTGTGCCGACATGAATGGGGAACGCATGTGGACGGTGGCACTAGGGCCTTCGGTGGAGTTCCCTGTAAGGACACGAAACGTGTGAGGGGATTGCCGAAATAGGTGTGGGGGGGCGCATGTGGACGGTGGCACTGGGGCCTTCGGTGGAGCTCCCCATGGGGCAACGAAACTTGTGAGGAGGTTGCCGGAATCGGTGCGGCGGGCGCATGCGAACGCAGCCACAGACGCCTTCGGTAGAGGTAGAGCTCACTGTGGGGCCACGAAACGCGTGACAGGTGTGCCGCAATAGGTGCGGTGGGCGCATGCGAACGCAGCCATTGGGGCCTTATGATGCCGCGAAACGTGTGATGGGTTTGCTGAAACAAGTGCGGTGGGCGCATGCGAAAGCAACCACTGGACCCGTCGATGGAATTCCCTTATATGGCCACGAATCGCGTGAGAAGTGTGCCGACATAGGCGCTGTGGGCGCATACGAGAAGAACTATCGGGGCCTTCGGCGGAGCTCCCTATGGTGCCGCGAAACGTGTAATGGGTGTGCCGAAATGGATGCGGTGGGCGCATGCGACCGCGGCCACTGGCCCTTTCGGTGGCGCTCCCTGTGGGGCCACGAAACGTGTGAAGGGTGGGTGTGCCAAAATGGGCGTGGGTGACGCGCGTGGGCGGTGGCACTGGGGTCTTCGGTGGGGTCCCCTGCGGGGCCACGAAAC